CAGAGACTTCATACCAGCACATCCCACCAGAAGGTCCGAGTTCCACAGTCGGTGTTGAACTCCCTTCGTTGGTGGGACTCTCCGGCACTGTCACGGGGAGCAGAATTCAAAGAACCAGACAGGATCACCATCACCACAGACGCAAGCCTATTTGGGTGGGGGGCACACCTCCACACACACTGGGCCCAAGGTCAGTGGTCCAGGCAGGATCTAAAGAACAATATAAACTGGCTGGAACTAAGAGCCATACACATGGCCCTAAAGAGATTCAGCAGCTTAGTACAGGGCCAGCACATCCTGGTCTTAACCGACAACATCACAGCCAAGGCCCATATCAACAGACAGGGGGGAACAAGGTCCAAGCCTCTCATGCAGGAGGCCAGATTGCTGGGGTCTTGGGCGGAAATGAATCTTGCCTCCATCAGGGCGGAGCACATATCCGGAGTGGCCAACCAGCAGGCGGACTCACTGAGCAGAGCCACCGTGGACCATTCTGAATGGCAGCTGGATCCGAAGATCTTCAGAGAGATCATGGACAGGTTTGGTTCCCCAACCCTAGATCTGTTTGCCTCCCCAGTCAACTCACAGCTTCCCAGATTCCTTTCCAGGTTCCCGTCTCCATCAGCGGAAGGAACAGATGCACTCCGCAGTCCCTGGCCCAGGGAACTGCTCTATGCCTTTCCTCCCCTGCCCCTTCTACCTGCCACGATCAGGAAGATCCTTCGCGAACAAGCAGAGGTCCTCCTGGTCGCCCCGCATTGGCCGAGACGATCTTGGTTCGCCGACCTGATGGAGCTCTCCGCATCCCCTCCATGGAGGATTCCAGCCAATCGGATCTCCCTCATTCAGGGGGAGTTACATCATCCGGACCCTCAATGGCTCCAGTTAACCGTCTGGCACTTGAGAGGCAGGCCTTAGGCCTAGACGCATATTCGTCAAGGGTCATAGCCATGATCCAGCAATCCAGGCGACCCTCGACGAATAGAATATACGATGCCACGTGGGAAAGCTTCTGTAATTGGTGTTTAGCTCACAAAATTGAACCCTTACAGGCTGCAGTGCCAGTTATCTTGGAGTTCCTGATGGATGGTCTGGACAAAGGGCTTTCCACAAGCACCATCCGTAGGCAGGTAGCAGCACTTGCCACGGTTATTTCCTGTGGCAAGGAATCCTTAACACAGCACCCTATGATACGCTCCTTCCTAAAGGGAGCTAACAATGCCAGACCACCAATGGTACATAGATATCCCTCCTGGGACCTTCATCAGGTTCTACAGGCTCTTGTCTCACCACCCTTTGAACCTATTGACACTTGTTTGCTCAAACAATTATCAATGAAGGTGGCCTTTCTGGTTGCTATAACTTCATGCAGAAGGATCTCTGAGCTGGCTGCCCTGTCAGTAAGAAAGGACCTGTGTATTTTCCATAAGGACAGGGTTACTCTCAGGTTAAATCCCTCTTTCGTGCCCAGGGTCAACTCCTTGTATCATAGGTCCCAGGACATAGTTTTGCCGGACTTCTGTTCGAACCCATCTAATGACACAGAGGCTCAGTGGAACAGATTGGATGTTCGCAGGGCCTTATATTGCTATATACAGAGGACCTCATCCTTCCGCAAGACTGAGGCTCTGTTTGTGTCATTTCACCCTTCGTCGTTAGGACAAAAGGTTTCCTCACCCACTATAGGCAGGTGGATTAGAGCTTGTATTTCTCTGGCATACCAGACTCAGTCACTTCAAGCTCCCAGCCATATCACGGCCCATTCCACCAGGGGCGCAGCCACTACAGCAGCCTGGTCTACCCAGGCATCCATAGAGGAAGTTTGTAGGGCAGCAACATGGGCATCGCCCTCCTCCTTTGTCCGTCACTACAAGATGGATGTATACGCATCTTCTACGGCTTCATTTGGCCGCAAGGTACTAGAACACGCATTAACATTGGATGGGACCCAGGCCCAATCTAATTCCCCACCCTAGGGACACAGGGCTTTGGTATGTCCCATCCGTGGGTTCTCCATCCAATCATGCTGGAGAAAGGAGCGTTGTCTTACCTGAACGCCTTTTCTCAGCATGATGATGGAGAATCCACTCCCTCCCATTAGGTCAGTTGGCCTGGTTCCCATTTGTTCAGACGCGTCGGACTAAAGTCTGGGTATCGCCTTAGTCTAAAACTGGGGTGCACTTGGCACAGAGGGGGCGTTACCAATTTCAGACTTAGTCCAATTGGAGCAGATAGATTAAGACAACCCATCCATGGATTCTCCATCATCATGCTGAGAAAAGGCGTTCAGGTAAGACAACACCCCTTTTCTATTGTCTGAAAGTGAGTGCTCTGAAAGTCTTTGCAGTTCTTTGCAAGGGAGTATGGACATGGACCCTGGATTCAATACTGTTAATTGAATATGCTTTCCATTTCATAATGATTTGTATTACTGATCCAGTTAATACTATGTTGCTGAATATTTGTTAACTGAAATTAACTAATCATTTACTGGTCGTACTGTTACTTGAATGTTGATATGCTTTATATAATACTGAAACTAATGTAGATTGCTAGATTCATATTGCTTATACTTAAATTGCATGAACCATCTTAAACACAAGCTATATGAGGGGGAAATGTGGTGTACAAATAAACTGACTATTACTTGGTTTATTTATTATACTGGCACCAAAACATATCCCCGCCTCTCTCTTTCCAACACTTAATGGGAGGCTTACATTTTTCACAGTATAGAATATTTTGCTGCCCTAAGAGTGCATATGAATGGATGCCATCAAAATTCAATATAATGATAAGAACAAGTAGACCTGAGGAAATTCACAAGGTTAATGCACATGCCAATGAGGTTTGTAGAGACGGTTGAGGAATTCAGTTTTTATGAATTCTTATATGATTGGCATTCCCTCCAAGGTTAAGTATCACTAAAATATTTTAAACCCAATTTGACACAAAATATATACTAAATTTCTAGCATCTCTCTACATTCTGTATGATACATTACATGCTTCTGTATAACCACCTTTGTTTTAATTATGTTTCCTGCTGTTTCTAAAACAGCAATGCCCAAATTATGTTAAAGACAGATGTATTGTATTGTGATACAGATTGGAAGGGGAAAGGTGCTCATATAGCACCTGTCAGCAACTCCTAAAAACTTATTTATTTAATTATTTAAAACATTTGTATAGTCACCTATCTTAAAACAATTATGGGTGGCTTACAACCAATAAAATATAAAATTCAACACTGATAAAACTAAAAAGAGAAAATCTGATGCCACAATCACCCTTCCTTGATGCAACCCACATTCTCATCTCACACTGACCTCACCCTGGAGGAGCAGCCAAGTTTTAAGTTGCTCTGGAAGGATAGAAGGATTGGGGTCTGTCAGATCTCAGAGGAAGGGTGTCCATAGGGCAGGGGCTGCAATAGAAAACGCACATTTCCAAGGACCCACAAGATGGCAGATGTCCTCTGGGGAATAGATAGATATCCCAGGGGGAAGTGGTCTTGCAGAAAACCCAGTCCCATGCCATGTAAGGCTTTAAAGATAACAACCAGCATTTTAAATTGCCCCTGGAGCTAGTGCAACTCACGCAACAGGAGTACAATATGGGTATTACCTAACATTGCACACTACTGCACTCTAGATCAGTTGTAATTTTTAAATAGTTTTCAAGGGCAGCCCCATGTAGTAATCCAAATGGGAAGTGATCAAAAGATGGCCATGAGCAAGCCTCCCAGTCCAGGAAGTATACAATTGCTGTACAAGAGAATTTTACACAAAGGCCATGGCTACACCTTCTCATCAAGCAGTAGCTGCAAGTCCAGGAGAACCTGCATGTTGTGTACCAGCTCTTCCTGGGGATATGAAACCCCACCCATAGTCCAAGATAATAGCATCATAATAGCAACACAATTGTTAGGTAATCTGGCCTCCCCATTGACTTTTCTTGTCAGAAGGTTGCAAAAGATGATCACACTGCAACCATCATAAATGCGAGTCAGTTGCCAATCTTCTGACCATGGGGGATGCTGTAATGGTTGTAAGTGTAAAAAATGGTCACAAATCACTTTTTTCAGTGCCTTTGCAACTTTGAACAATCACTAAACAAACGGTTGGAAGTCAGGGATTACTTGTATGTGCTCATGCTCCAAATAATATTTCCTTAATAAATCTAGAAGAGCTGTTTCTTCAATTTGGAGAAATGAAGCACTGATTCAAAAGGAATGACTCTGAATGAGATGGAAATCCCATTACTCTCTAGATGCTTTCTACGTGAAACCCCATCCACCCCATTCATTATGACAAATAGCCAAGAATGGTGGGAATTGTAATAAACAGCATCAGAGGGTCATGCATTTTTCATGTATTTCCAAAATCAACCATTATTCTCTACAGAAGCAAATGTAGGCTTTTGCTGAAAAGCTCCCTCTTTAGACTTTTATTTTGTTGTTGTTTTCACAGATACAAAATTTGGAAGAAGGAAGAACAGGTGGTGGTAGTATAATAACACAGATGAATAAGCATTATTATGCTGGAGTGCTCATATTCAGATTGCTATGATTGAATTATTTCATGTATCCATGAAACTAAAACCAAAGTTAAATATAAAGAAAGAGAATAATACAGTATGTGGAATTATAGAATACTGCTACCGAGAAACCAAAGTCAGAAAGATGGATTCAGTCACATTATTCTTGTCACAGTGGTGATCAAAGTGCATAAAGGCAGATTGTTGAATACTCCAACATTTAACCATTCAACACTTGTCAAGGAGTCTTTCTTTGAGAATATTAGCTTTTGTATCTTTAATAGTCATTGTTTATGGTATTAAAAATAACTCTCTGAGGGAAGACGGATGGTTAATAAGTATGAAAGTTAAATAAAATAAAATAAAATAAACTTTATAGAACTAGTGAATGTCTTTCAAGGGCATTCTATTTCAAAACTTAGCACTTTGCATGAATATAATATATAGTGGTGATACATGTTGAATATAATACTTTTAAAAAATTCCTTTGAATCACTTCTGATTCCTGGAAACTGCCTGAGGAAGTCAATATTGTTTCTTTGGTAACATTTTCAAAAGTGGTTTGTAATTGCCTTCTTTATAGGGCTGAGAAAGAGGGTCTGGCTCAAGAAACCTACTGTATAATCTAGGTTTCTAGATTATAACTTACTAATATTTACAATAAAAATTTCTGATAATCTTTGGTTTTTAAAAAATCAATAAAACAGGTAATGAAAGAACAACAGACTGCAATTGTGCAGTGTATTACTTTATTTCACTTTAGCATTTATTTTATGATCCTACAAGACAAACATCTATTACTATTAATTGAAGTTATTTTGGTGTGTGCATGTTATTATCAGTGGTGGGATTCAGCCAGTTTGCACCACTTTGGCAGAACCGGTAGCTAATTTTTTGTTGCCCAGGCCCAGAACGGACTTCCGGAAGTGGCATCCACACATATTTGAATCCCACCACTGGTTATTATGACTATTTAAGTAGACGCTAATAAACATTAGCTTAATGTTTATTTTGCACTGCCTCTATCTTTCCAGTAATTCATATACACTTGAACAATTCATGTACACTTGAACAAAATTCTGTTTTTTTTGCTGAACAGTAAATGCTTAGGGACCCAGTTATTGTTGATTAGGGCTATATTACTGAAAAGGGCTTTGAGAATGAAGGGCTTACGGGCCTCTACATTAAAGCAGCTCTAAAACACTTATTCTCATATGAGTACTTGAAACAATTTTTGCTGTACTGCCATAATTATGTACAAAGATTCTATGGCACTGGCTTGGGAATTGATAATCAGGCAATCTGAGACTGATTGTCTTGGGCAAGTATTGCCCAACTCTAAAATAATAACAGTTTCTTGCTTCAGTCTTTGGGATTTTCTCCCTCTCGTTGCTGAAATACTTAATGTGTTGGACTGATTTTAGAAAACAAGAGTTTTCTGGCTGAAAGGATAAAATGTTTCAGTGCTGATTACAAATGGGCATTTATCATTCAACATTTGTTTGGCATCATTACCAAATAGACAGTTGGGTCCATTGTTGTGAATAAAGAAGAATATTTTTATGAAGCTTAAGAACAGAGGCACCAAAAGATGATTCTCTCATGACAAACAGTACCAGGAGCAGTACACTGACTGGTCTTTCATCAATCATTGTCATTATATAGCCATTTAAGTAAAACAATAATTATGTAAAGACGTTGAGGGAATAGCTTTGATTTTTTTGTGGGGTGAAATGACAGCACCTTTATTAAATGCTGTTCATTATGTGGCAAGCGATTGTACCAAGCCAAATCATCATCATCATCATCATCATCATCATCCCTTTAACCCCATCAAACAAGAACATCAGCCTACCACAGGTCTTTGAGAAAGACTCAATGGGTGGATAAAAATGCCAAATCCAGTCTAAAGTGGTTGATTATGTGACAAACCATAATAATAATGTCACATTACAGAAGAAATGTGCATTTGACACACTTATTAAGATAGGTTTAGTAAGTTTTTTTCTATTATTAGCACAGCACCACCAGATAGCAATAAAATATACCTAATAGATATGCAGAGGGGATACCGAATCACTGGTCCTGTAGTGTTATATTCTGAAGAAAACCTTATATCATGTCTAAAACCAATGCACCACTAAGTTAATATACCATACCTGCTTGTTAAGACATTGGTATGCAGCTGTAGAGGAGTGGGTAATGCATAAATACCTACTTTGACATTATTCTCTGCAACTACTTTTATTTATATTCCTCGTTATTGAACAAAAAGTCTGGAACAGGAAATTTTGCATAACTTGAATTACAATAATAGAATGGTAAAGTTTGGAAAGCAAGAATTATGTAACAACTAGTAAGACTGATCCTTGTAATTACGGAAGAGAAGAATAACCAGTAGGAGGTGAAGTATAGCATTGATGCTCATCCTGCTTGTTGCTGACCTATTTTTGCTTCTTTCTAATCAGGAGAAGAAATTTGTTTAAGATTTCTCTGTCAAAAATAGGGAAGAATGAGAAAAAGTGCTGCTGTCCTTGATTGTAATAAGAAGAAAAATTGACATCCTCTTTGAAAAAGGAAGATAAGTAGCAGTCATACAGATAGCAAATCAATTATAAACATTTACTCATTTTACGGTACAGTAACATAAGGACTGGAGATTCCATTTCAAAACAATCATTGCCTCAAACATTCAAAGACCAAGAAATGTTCTTGTAATACTCTACTGTGGTCATGTAGCAATCAAACCACAAAGGACTCTCTTCAGCAGCATTAGCTGAATCAGAGATCCAGCCAAAACAAAAAGATTGGCCTGCTGAATACATACATGCTGTCAAATTTAGTTTATCAGCCTCACAGTTATTACAATTTATTCTGTTGTTTGAGTTAAAATGTCACTGGAATATATTAATATGGTATTACTTCTGATAAGGGCACATTAAAGGTTATAGAAATAATATATTATCAGAGACTAAGCATGTACATCACTTGATATGCATTCTTTATCAGTAATGGTTCATTTATGAAATATATGTGATCTTATTACCTAAAGTGCTTCTTAAGAAGTGTGTATATGTACACACATGCATATCTGTGAATACTCTGATAAGCTTTGTGAATGGTACATTCCAATTAGAATAGAATAGACCTGGAAGGGACCATGGTCTTCAAGTCCGGCCCCCTGCTCAAGCAGGAGAACCTATACCATTTCAGACAAGGACTGTCTAGTCTCTTAAAAATCTCCAGTGATGGAGCACCCATGATTTCTGAAGACAAACTGTTTCACTAGTTAATTGTCCTCACTGCAGGCAGAAATCTAGAGATAGGAATGGAGATAGCAATTAGGGCTGAATTAGCCCATCCAGGAGCATTTTGTTTTGATCTCTGTCTAGCAATTCAGAGGTTAGGTGTAGATAACTTCTATCTGACATGCTAACGGCAGATAAAATCTATCTGACATGCTAACGAGAAATCCAAGATGGGGCTCTTGATCAAAAGTCTTCAAATGTTTCATTAAAGAATCCAGAAATAAGCAGTTGCATTTTTTTGTTCTCTGTTGCCCACTTCTCAGTTTCACATTAACAAGATAATGTACAAAGTATTGTCAAGTGCTTGTTCTGCACTGCCCTTAACATGAACTTGCATTAATATCTAATAAGTCAGCTCCAAGAGTCAGTCTATATTTATTGTTGAGTCTGGAATGCTGCCTTGGTTAACAATCTTTCTTTAATTCCTCTTTCCCTAATTCCAACAAAAAGAACCATATGATTAACAACTTTTGTAGACCAAATATTCATTATATTGTCAATTCATAAATGGCAACCCTATTATTTTCTGGGAAATAATAGTGGGCTCAGTGGGTCTCACTTTTTGTCAAATATTTATAGGATTGGCCTGCCAGAATATGAGAATAATAAAATTCACTGAGAAATCTGATAATTGGAGAAGGAATCATATTTTAATACACAAAATTCTTAAAGTAAATATAAAGAGAATAGAATATGCTAGAATATGAGAGTAATAAAATTAACTGAGAAATCTGATACTTAATTGGAGCAGGATTCATATTCTAATACAGAAAATTCTTAAAGTAAATATAAAGAGAAAACCAGAGACATTTTATTTTATTTCTAAAACAAAACAGAAACACAAGTTAAGATAGGCAAGAAAATCGTTAGTGAGCACCTGTCCAGCCTAGATGAGTTCAAATCGCCAGGACCAGACGGATTACACCCCAGAGTTCTCAAGGAACTGGCAGATGTGATATCGGAGCCACTGAACTATATTTTTCAAAGATCCTGGAACACAGGGGAACTACCAGAGGACTGGAAAAGAGCTGATGTAGTTCCCATCCTCAAAAAAGGAAAAAAAATGGATCCAGGAAATTACAGACCTATCAGCCTGACCTCAATACCTGGGAAGATCCTGGAAAAGATAATCAAACAACGAATCAACGAACACCTAGAGGCAAACAAAGTCATTACTAAAAGCCAACATGGGTTTGTCAAAAATAGATCATGCCAGACAAATCTTATTGCATTCTTTGACCAAGTGACAAAATTAGTGGATCAGAGGAATGCTGTGGACATAATTTACTTGGACTTCAGTAAGGCATTTGATAAAGTAGATCACAACCTACTACTTGACAAGATAGAAAAATGTGGGGTAGACAGAACCACCACCAGATGGATCCGTAGCTGGCTGACCGGCCGTACTCAGCGAGTGGTCCTCAATGGAACTGCATCTATATGGAGGGAAGTGTGTAGTGGGGTGCCCCAGGGCTCTGTTCTGGGCCCAGTACTCTTCAACATCTTCATCAACGATTTGGATGAAGGGATAGATGGGGAACTCATCAAATTTGCAGATGACACCAAGCTGGCAGGAATAGCCAACACTCCAGAAGACAGGCTTCAGATACAGAAGGATCTGGACAGACTTGAACACTGGGCACTAACTAACAAAATGAAATTCAATGGTGAAAAAAGCAAGGTTCTACATTTAGGCAAGAAAAACCAAATGCACAAGTACAGCATAGGTGGCACCATGCTCAATAGTAGTAACTGTGAGAGGGACCTCGGAGTCCTAGTAGACAATCACCTAAATATGAGCCAGCAGTGTGCTGCAGCTGCCAAAAAGGCCAACACAGTGCTAGGCTGCATTAACAGAGGGATAGAATCAAGATCACGTGAAGTATTAATACCACTCTTCAATGCCTTGGTAAGGCCACACTTGGAATACTGCATCCAGTTTTGGTCACCACGATGTAAAAAAGATGTTGAGACTCTAGAAAGAGTACAGAGAAGAGCAACAAAGATGATTAGGGGACTGGAGGCTAAAACATATAAGGAACGGTTGCTAGAATTGGGTATGTCTAGTTTAACGAAGAGAAGGACAAGGGGGGACATGATAGCAGTATTCCAATATCTCAGGGGCTGCCATAAAGAAGAGGGAATTAAGCTATTTTCCAAAGCACCTGAAGGCAGGACAAGAAGCAACGGGTGGAAACTCATCAAGGAGAGAAGCAACCTAGAACTAAGGAGAAACTTCCTGACAGTGAGAACAATTAATCAGTGGAACAGCTTGCCTCCAGAAGCAGTAAATGCTCCAACACTGGAAGTTTTTAAGAAGAGACTGGACAGCCATTTGTCCGAAATGGTGTAGGGTTTCCTGCCCGAGCAGGGGGTTGGACTAGATGACCTCCAAGGTCCCTTCCAACTTTACTACTATTACTAAGACTTTGTGCTTGAAGTGGAAAAGAAATGAAATTTGATTTTGGGCTTTACCGATTAAATATGTATATAACTAGAAATGGCTAGTTTAAACTATTATGTAAAAGTAAAAAGTTGAGGTATGATGTTAATGTCTTATTCTACTGTGCCCAAGGGAATTAGAAGTCAATGCCTTTTCTTTCTTTCTCTCCTCCTTTTCCTCACTTTCCCTTCCCTATTTTTCTTATTATTTGTTTTTGTATATTTTTTGTATGTTATATCATAAACTAATACAACTGTAGAAAAAAATTAAAAAAAGAAAAAGAAAAAAAGAAATGAGAAACCGGATACTTAATTGAACAAATAAACTCACCAGCTTTCTCAGTCCGGTGTTTTGGACTCTCTTGTCCTGGAAGGCATGGGCAAGGCCCTTCACATCGAGCCACAATGTTTTTGCCAGATGTGCAGGCATGAAACTCCAACTTGCACTGTAAACACAACAAAACAAACACAATTTATTTGATGCAAAATTGGACACAGATATGAAAATAAACATTGTCATCAGAACAGAATCATGAGAGTAAGTTTTTGTGGTCTGAATTTCAACTTACTTGCTCTGCTTATTGGTGCTTCTTGCTGTGTCTGTGTAACACCAATACTCTGAGAGTGCCATTGGCTCCCAATTGCATCTGAGTGCAGTTCAAGGTACTATTATTTTCTCTAAGCCCTGCATGGCATAGAGTTTGGTTACTTGAAAGTATCTGAGCATCTGCCCTCCCCACATGCTCTGATAGAAAAGGTTTACTCCAGGTCCCTTCCACTGAAAGATTTCATCTTGTGGGAACCAGGGTGCATGCCTTCTCTCTTATAGAACAACCTTCCTCTTGACATATAAAGGCTGTCAAGACCTGGCTCTTTCCCTAAGACATGATGCTTGGTATCCTGACTGGATGATGGTGGTACTGCTGTTTAAGTCATCGTCTACTTTTGTTAATATTGTTTGTAAGTATATGCATTATAATTTTATATTCTTTTCATTAGACTCTGTCACCTTGGTTGAGTTGGAGCACTATATAAATGTTTTAAGTAAGTAAATGAATATGTAAATCACTAAGTTTGGTTTTAAGAGGCTATTCAGATTCACAATCCAAAACGTAGCAAAGAATAGAATACACATACTTATTTAGTAAAAACTTGAAATAAATCTGAATTGAATGAATCACAATTAGCTAGATTTAATTAGTCTTTTCTTAAACATTTAGAAATCACAGTCCATCAACAAGTTTTGAAAGGACTCTTAAGGACCTGCTCACCTTGCATGACTGCATGAACCCCACAGCTATTGGTTTTAATCTTCTTCCTTATATAAAAACTTCTTACAAGCTTTGTATTAATACCCCCCACAACAAATGACATAAATTAGCCAGTTTTAGAGGAAAAGCATAGGTTAGAAAACTATCTGTGAAAATGAATAATTTAGTCATTTTAAAGCATGTCTATCTGAATTCCTAAACAAGATTCTATATCTTATGGATAGTACTGAAGCCATGCTTACAACTGTTGTGTGGGAACCAAAGCAAGGTAACTACATGAGATAAATCAATCATTAAACCAGTGAAGCACCATGTGTTTTGCAAAATTATGTTTTTGCTTTCTATTCTACTACAATAAAAAAGCAGAGTGAATGAAGCAGAATGTTGCTGTAAGATTAATGCCTCCTACTTTGAAAATGTCAGAAGTAGCTTGCTGCTGCTTGTGTGTATTTTTGTAAATGAATTCACCTCTCCAGGCTTTAATCTGGTAGTAGGAGACCATTTATTCTTGACAACATTCTGTCACATTGATATTATCTTCAGGTGCTTTCTGGACTTTAGAGGACTCTGCGGACTGCAAACTCCAGATGCTATTCCGTTCTTCAGTTTTAGAATATTTGTGGATACAGCCTGCTATCTGCTTGTGGATAAATTCATAGGGCATTTGATGCTATGTACTTTTTCTATACACGTGTAAGAACCACATGTAAATCCCATATGCGAAATGTGGCATTCTGGGTACTAGGATTTCAGTCAAAAGTGGACGATAATTCAAATTATAAAATGATAATGGCTGACAGATATTCTGATAATGCTATGATTTGTCTTTTTGATTTGGTATGATCTTTTCCTGTTCTTGTTGTTCCTATTAAAATTGCATATATTGTTTTGTTAAAATATCTGTTGAAGTCTTTTTAATTGAAGCAGATTGGGTCCACAGTAGACATCAAATAGTATCTTGAATTACAGTCTCTTTGATGTGCCAGTAAGCTCCTGTAGAAAACCACTGGCTCTGTAGTTTTAAAATTGTCTGGATTTGCTTATTCTACAGTCATGGCTTCAGATAGTAAAATATACAGAGTTAATTCTAAATGTTCCTTTTTGCGTGGAATGGCTAGTGGCAGCTTTATAAAAAACATCCCTGGAGGAAGAAAAAGTTTTCAAAGGAGATTACGCCACCACGAGCTGCAGTTTCAAACAAACTTCCTACCCAAGCTACCTCACAGCTTTGTCACCAGGAGTGAGAATTCAGCCATGAGGTAGACATTTCCAGCACTTATTCTATTAGAACATCTTGTTTAGCCAATAAACACAAAAAAAAGGTTAGGATTCTAGCTTGATTTATGTCTATTTTCAGAGTACTAATTCAGTGCAAGCCAATTCTCAACCAAATTTAAAGTTCTATAACAAAGTCAGATAATTGTGTGGAAAGTGAATGTGGGGTCACCAGTATTATCTCATTGTTTTAATTCTCCATGGATATATCCACTGAACAGGCTGTAAGCAAATACTACACATTAGATTTTAATAGTTTGAACACCAACCACTAGAGTTCAGAATATAGAAACACATCATTTTAAAGCTAATAGTGTCTTACTGAAATCAAGTTCCAAAGTCATTTTCCCTGGAAGCAGCATTGGGACCGTATATAGGCCACAAAGCAAGTCATCCCAGCCGCTTGCCCATATTGTCAGCATTACCAGGAGCTCATTTCTGCCGTCTTTTCAGTGGCTCTTAGAAGTAACAAAAATTCCTCCTACCTAATGAGTGTACTCAATTATTTTGTAAAGATGTGGTAAATTTCCTTTATTGCGGCAGCTTTCCTAATGTGTATAGTTTTCCTAGATGGTTAAGTGCTGGTAGCCTAAAGTATAAATATGAACCGAGACAGGAGCTTTTTTAATGTGTATTCATTTACACAATAATTAATAATGATCTAATGTGTCAATCAACATTTAGTTACTGTATCTATAGAATTGGTAATTCTAGCCTAATCAGCTGTAAAATCTTCTTCAGAGAGGCAAATAATACCCACTCTAGAAAACAAATGTAACACACACATTTCCCAAATGGCTAAACACATATTATACAGTAAATGCTGAATGTCATTTAGGTGGTCTTGGCCACCACTACTGGCAGATTTAATGTCAATTAATATTATTAACGGTGATTCATATTCAGCCAGAGAATTCTGCTGTTCATTAGATCAGTTATTAATAAGGATAATTCTAGTTGTATGGGTTTCTCCTTTCAAGAAATGACATGAAGTTGACTGACATGAAGTTTTCCTTTGCAAAAAGGTAAATTCAGCTTCATTGATAACAATAAGGAACCAAGAGCACATAAATTGCTGAGACTAATTTATTCACCCTATTTGCCGGTCATTACGCCACAAAAATAATCAAGAAATCTGGACATAAGACAGTTAAAATTGATGAAACTATTACAGAAATAAAGTAGAAGGGTATCAACTAAAACTCTGGGATCAAGAAATTCAGTAAGAGAAGCATCAAAACCTATATGTTTAAGGTTGTTTTAACTCATGTTTTAACTCATGTTAAATTCATTTTTAAATCTTCTTGGTTTGAAATAGCAGGTAACAAATAAGTGAAACAGCACTAGTTTTTTTTAAAAAAATATTCGCCCTTGTGAGTATATTTAAAAAAAGTGGTTTTTAAAAAAAATCTGCAGCTTTTTAAAAAGCTAGCTGTCTTATTTTCTATGGTGATGTTTTCTATAAAAAGCACCAAACCACATTGAAAGCGTTAACACCATAACAAGAAGATTTATAATGATAAGCCCATAGGATGTTAGCAGACAATGTTTCGATACAAATCAACAAAATCTTCTTCTCCAAGGAATGCCTGAATCTCTAAATGATTAGGAGAAAAAAGGTTAGAGAGAAAAATATCCAAACAGTTATCCCTTATTTCAAAATATATTTTTTTATTGATCAGATAAGAGGAAAACATCATTACTTTTTAAGAGATGACAACTATAGAAAGCAGAAATATATCCAGAGAAAGAAATTATGGGGACTTCCGGTTTGGTGTTCGACGAGATGGGTGGAAGAAGCCAGGGCTCCGGATTCTTAGCCCGATTTTGTTCTGCCCAGCGACCCCAAGGGGTCAGAAAGTTGCCCTGGAGGGGCAACAAAGAAGGAGAGATGCCTCAGGAGTCCGGACCAGACAACGGTCGGTCCAGACAGACTGAAGAAACCCTCTAAAAGGAATATTTCAAAATATTTCTGAAGATAGAGAAGAAAACATAGCAGTTGTGATTATTGATCTCCTGGCAGAGGCTTTGAAAGCAGACAGAGCAGAGATGCAAATGGAGAGAGATGAAATATTTCGAATGAATTCAAGCTATGCAAGCAAATACAAACTATCCAGAGAAGTCCATGTGAGATTTATAAAGAAAACAACAAGAGATGAAATACTGAGAAAAGTTAGAGATGAGCCATTACACTACAAAAATAGTGTAAAAATTGTGGTCTTAAAGCAGAGAGAGTAAGAGATACTCGAAGACAATATCATTTTTTAACTACAAAGCTATCGCAAAAGGCATAAATTTCAGATGGTTAACGCCAGAAGGGATTTTAATCAACTGGAATAATACAAGATACTGATTGGATTCAGTTTGGAAAGCAAAATATTTTGATGAAAAAAACTGAGCATTTTTAAATGAAGGAGTGCAACATCGACAAAAGGAGAGAAAAGATCAGAAACAAATAGAAGAAGCAATGATACAAACAGGAAAACAGAAAGAGAAATTTGATCAAGAGAGTGAAGGAATTGCCAGAGAACAGAAGATCACGAAATTGACTAGATCTAAATATAAATAACTGAAATGGGGAAAGAAAACGGATTTTTTTCAGTGAATATAAATGGACTAAACTACCCATCAAAAAGAAACAAATTTTTTTAGAAAATTACAGAAATTAAATATAGATATAATTTGTTTGCAAGAGACACATATAAAAAAACAACATTATAAGCTGTTGGAATACCCCAAAATTGGGAAACTTTATCATGCATCAGCACAACAGAAAAAAGAGGTGTTTGCTGTATATATTAAAGAGGCAATAGATTCTAAAATGATTTATTCAGATGAAGAAGGAAGAACTGTGATGGTAGAAATATACTTACATCAAGAACAAACATTGTTAATAGTAA